TATTGTAAACGGTTGCATGTATCGAAATATGTATAGATTCGTGCTTTGTAATCATTTTAACCTACAGTCTACAGTCTCTTCCCATAGTATTTTAGCATTGCAGATACATTAATCCATTCCCACACTCAACACTGCTCACCTTTACTACTTCCTTCACCATCCCCTACGTCGTGGACCTGTTTCCCTCTCTTCCCATTGCATTTTAGGATCGCAGATACATTAATGTAAATGCCAAAGACAGTTCCCACACTCTGCACTGCAAGCCTTACTGCTTCCTTCACCATTTCCTACGTCATAGACCTGTCCCCTTCCCTTCTCATAGCATTTAAGTATTAGATACATTTATCTAACTGCCCAAAGGGTTCCCCCACTCTGCATTGCCAGGCTTTACTACTGCCTTCACCACTTCCTACATCGTGGACCTGTTTTCATCACTTTCCATATCATTTTAGTATTTTAGGTACGTTAATCTAATTGCCACAAACATTGCCCACACTCCGCACTGCTAGCCTTTACTACTACTTTTACCATTTTCTATGTCGTGGGCATGCTTCCATCCCTTCTCATAGCATTTCAGCATTGCAGATACATTAATCTACCTGCTACAAACGGTTTCCAGTTCCCACCCTCCACACTGCTCACCTTACTACTTCCTTCACCTCTTCTTAATCTAATCGTCAAAAACAGTTCCCACACCCCGAACAACTCGCCTTTACTACTTCCTTCACCACTTCCTACGTCACGGACCTCAAGCTAGTGTCGTCATTTGATTATATTTATGATCCATACAGTTTCTGTTCTAATATCTGTGAATTAATGCTATCAGCTATTTCTTTATCTACTGCATTCAAAAGTCAACAGCTGATCATATGTTTTTGTTTATGTGTCAAATACTGCTTCCATAAGGATTACATTGAAACTTTGAGACCCAGTGGGGCGGATTCCTGAGAGACTTTTTTAACGCCATCTAGATGTTGGCACTCACCTATATGGTCTTTATCACTATGCAAAATTTTAAAACGATTGATTCAGCCGTCTAGGAGGAGTTTGCGTATTACGAAATGCATAAGAGTCGACGTATAAGAGCTTCGCTCGCTCCGCTCAATGAAAAATGAACAGCAAAGACATGTTCAATAAGTCCTTTTCACAATTATTTAATTGAAAATTGCCATAATCAGAAACTAAAACTGTCGAGTTATGGAGATAACAATTCGATGTAGAAAATTAAAAAAAAAATCTATACACGGACTACTGTATTTGAATTAAAACTAAACAAAGCAATAGGTAATTTATGAGTTTGAAAGAGGTTTGAAATTAGAGTTCACGAGTGCAAACCCCCGTTGGCCCGTTATATTCTTTGTTCAAAGGAAATTCTTTGTTAATATATATAGCCTAGAACCTCACTTTTGGGTTACAAGATAAAAAGTAAAGGAAGCCATTTCAAAACAGTTACAATTTTGTTAATTTTATATTGTAAATCTGCTATCTATCATCTTAGGCGTAATAATGAACGACGAGTTTCAATGACTGGAGGGTAGAAAAATGCTGTACGAGTAGCACTTTAATTTATATAAGATCATCAATTATTTTTATCAGAATTTTGTTGTATTACATACTTTTCAATTAAAGAATTACTATTGTTTCAGTGATTAACTGTTTATGGTTTCTTATAAAATAATTATTTTTGTACGGTAAATCATAAAATATTTGTCAGTTTATGATATTTTCTTTACTATTAAAAGCGAGCAAGACTCGGTCCCCCGATACTTGTCAAATTAACTTTAAAAAGACGTTTATAAAACTAGATGCTCAAGTTGGCAAAACCAACCAAAAACTCTCCTTCTCTTTTAACAATTATTCATGCAACTGTTAATCTGTTTTTAAGAGTCTTCTGCAACGAAAACAACCAATACTGAATACTTTGATATAATAATGATCTTATTAATTTTTTTCATAAATCATAGTTAGCCTGGATTCAAACGCAAAAAAACTACATGTATTCGTAGGCGCAATGGATATGCTGATAACTTATCTATGCTTAAAGTACCTATTATTCAAATCTGGCGAGCGTGTAACAGAAAAAGGCCATTCAACACGTGACAAAACGTAATTGCCTCTTGTGATGGTGAAGGGATTAGGGATGAGGAGGGGTTGTACCGCAGCTGCCGAGTAATGGTGAATCATACATACATACTACGTCATACACCCGCTACATACAGCTACTGCTACTACGGTGGTACACGGCGCTACTGACGGACTGACTGACGGTCGACGGAGTACTCGTTAGAGGAGGGGTTGTACCGCAGCTGCCGAGTAATGGTGAATCATACATACATACTACGTCATACACCCGCTACATACAGCTACTGCTACTACGGTGGTACACGGCGCTACTGACGGTCGACGGAGTACTCGTTAGAGGAGGGGTTGTACCGCAGCTGCCGAGTAATGGTGAATCATACATACATACTACGTCATACACCCGCTACATACAGCTACTGCTACTACGGTGGTACACGCAGTTCCAAACTTCTACATTACTCTTGCAATTTGTTTTGTAAGAGACGGAGCTTAGTGGGTAGGAAAGTCGGTTTGGAACGGAAGAATGACGTAAGTTTGAGCGACAGCTGACAGCGGAACGGTTTGATTTGTCATGATCAGCTGTGTCGTAGTGTTGCCAGATGCTTAATCTATTTGCTGTGATTAGCTGACTGCCAATAAGTGATGCAGTTTGAGGGATAACATATAGTTACGTTATAAAATGTAATTCCCCGACAGTCCCGGACTTGAGTCTTGGTCATGCCAATGGCTCACCACTTCAGAGGAAATTTGCGAATAAATGCGGTAAACACGGGTTATTTAAATTGGATATTTGCTGAGGGATTTATTTAATTAAACCCATAATGAGAAAACTTCACTCGGCCAATGGCGAAATGGCAATTATAACATCGTACACACACCCGTTGAGAAATGGGCCTTTGTTGTTTAGCTAATGGCTATTTTAAAATATTGTTCATGTAATAAAACGTAAATAATAATATTAATTCACATTCTGGATAAATATCTTTTTGAGGCCAATCGGTGATTTAAAAGCAACACATAACTCCCTAAAAATCTGTAGTTTAGGAACATTTTTTCCGTAATTTTTCTTACGTGGCAGGTAACTTAAAATTGTTCAATACAAACCAAAGTTTTAATGGCGTGTATGGATAAAAATAAATTTTTAGTTCTTGGTATTTTACAAACAATTTTGGTACGTTTACAAAATGGTATTTTATAATAAATTTTATAAAAATATATTGTCTTTACAAATAATTTATAAGTGTTGTAATCATTTAATTAGCGATCTATAGTAGATAATTTACCTAAATAATTCTTAGAAGTTTTTCTTCCAACCAGAGGTTGAATAATATTATATGAAATAGGATAATTACTGTACCTTTTAAAAAAGGTATTTCATTGAAGTGTCATTTATTAACACTTTCTATTCAGCTAACCTTTCTTAAATTGAAATCTACAAATTATATAGAAATATCAAGACACCAAATATTCCCGAAAGCTTTGGTTTACGGAAAGGTATTTGAGAAAAATTTTGTAAAATAATTTTTTTATTATAGAAACAATCCAAACGGGTTTCATGGCCATTTTCAAACTTGTTGTATTTCACTCTTGAAACTTCAAGAATTATGAATATTTAGGATTTATTTTAAAATGTGGCTTCAACAAGTGGACGTAATTCCTTCAAAGATGTAACACCATGAAAAGTATTTTATTCCGAATAATCGGCCTGCATCGCTGCGAATGGTTATTGAAAATGGTTAGTGAACAGAGATTGATAATTTCGCTGTCTTGACAAAAACAGCGGCAGAGAACTTTTCTCTTTACAACAGAAAATTGGATTTTTTAAAGTCCTACAACGGCCAACAACCCGGTTCAGGTAATATGAAGAGTGTTCTTCTGAACTAAGGGGTGTGGGGTGTGGGGTGTGTGGGTTGACTAAGGGTCATTTATCATAAGCCAGAATAATTTGCTATGAAATATTAACAGATTCGATTCACTCCAGCTTTATAACACTAGTGTTCACGTATATTCAAACCAATAAAAGGGAACGGTTTAGTATTCAAACGATACTGACAGTTGTTGTGAGTCACATAATCAGATTCCAGGAATATCTTTATTGCGACTTACGCAACTTATTGTATGTTGTGGGGTTGGTTGAGAGCAATTTTCCATATAAACAACGTGACGGGAGACCATCTCTGACAGGTTATGTGGACAATACTGTATTAAATATAAACATTCTTCTGGACATCGCTTACCCCACATCCAACGTAGGTGCGATATTAGTTAAACATGTTCTAATTGTTAATCCGCATACTGAAAATTATACAAATTTAAATAATTATAATACATTTTATAATTAAGTTTAAATAAGGAAGTTTAATTCCTCATGACTAAATTACCATACCATATATAAAATTTTACTCGCAATAGAAAAAAAACCTGTGTTGCAACGTTGCGAATGATTATTAAGTCAACTACATTGATGATTTGTTCTACAACTTAATTTTAAGCTTTATTATTTTCATACGATTAGGCATCATCTTTGACTATTAATAGTCAATGGTATCATGTAAAAATTGATTTTCAGAAACAAAATGTATGTGTAAGCGAATACCTCGAATCAATTAAACCAGCACCACCTCGAACGGAAAATTGACCAACTGGACAATTAGTTGGTTTTGAAACTGCAAAACCAGGCTCCGCGCTCCGACAAGGTTGAGGTTAGTTCTGCACTCTGTACAACACGTACAGCCATGTGGTTCGGAGCCCACCTTGCTTACCTTATTAGATACAAAAGTCGGTTGTTGTCGGAGAAAAGCCATAGGTACTGAATGTGTTTTACATAATTTGTACAAAAACTTATTTGATACAAGATATGACATCAATACGATTACGTTACTCAATGTTAACTCAGTTAGTCTTCTGATAAAGGATACATCTCTTGGAAGAAGTCAATGTGTGGTGGTTGCAGGATGTCCAAGGCTGACAGAACCTGTAACAGGCAAATAACAATAATTGTGTACCATCAGCAAGCTAGCTGTATCGAAAAAACACATCTTCACAGGTAAACTCTTCAAATCGTACTTACATTTCTGTTTGGATCAATTTTTTATTTTTCACCGTTAAGTGGAAGTACTGTACTGACTTTAGCAAACTGAAGAAGATATCCCAACTATTTGGACAAGCTGTACATTTTGTAACTTAGTTTGCTTAAATAATGGTGCAATATGACGTAAATGTAGGTCATAACACGGGCAAAAAGTGACTTTTCAACCTTCGTTCATGTAAAACTTCAGCTCACTCTACGCCCTAGTGATGGAATATTATACTATTAGATACATTAAACATGCCAATGTTTAAATGGAAACCTGGCTGAATAAACAATAGAAGTGTTCACCCTAATAGTTTGTATAACCGTCAACATGAGTGTGTTGAACCTGGGACAAACTGTGATAGAAATAGATGAACGCTGTCACCGATTTATTATACAACAGCACTTCCGTATGTAGCGATCAGATAGCCAATTAATTATATCGTTTACATGTAATGCTTAGTAACTTGATGAAACTGAAGGAGTTTGTGACAAGACGGTTTCGTATCTTAAAAACTGTGAACGAAACGTTTGTGCGTTGTTAAAAATAGGTCTATTATATGAATTTTAAAAAATAAATAAAAGATTTACGAATGAAGCAGATAGTTCTCAACGACGCTTGAGATTATAAACATTACAAGGTTACTACAGATTATATTTTGATCTTTATAATCGTTAATGACCTGGTTTCTTTGAAGGAGATCGCCAGATACCTTAGATAGTGTTTATCACTATTGTGGGTCCAGGTTGTTATGATACATTGTTCATTCTGATGCCAGGGGTTTGTCCCAGTATGTGCCAACTACAGTACACGTAACGACAACGGAGTTAGTTATACTGCTTATTTTACGGCGCGTATTTCCCTCCCTTGGGCCGCAATTTTACGACATTTCTATATGTAATTCTGACATTAAGGCAAGACGTAATTTCATAGCTCGGTGACACTTCCTTCAGCACAGACACTGTGTCTATAAATAACAATCTAAGATCGTATGTTGATGTATATCATATAATACTTCTGGAAGCGTTTCAATGCTGCGACCTTGTCTCCGCGCCATTTCTGGTAGTTCCTACAATAGTTTCCTTGTTGCTACAATACCAATTACCGCAATCGCAACAGACTTTCTTTATGTCATGGAAGATTCTAGTGCGGTTATCAATCTAAATGTGAAATCCACCGAAGACGCTGTTTCTCGGACAATATACCCGCGACTTCCCGTGTTGCTGGTGTATTGAGGGCGGAAGACAACCCGAGGGTATTCTTCGCAAACTGTTGGAGGAAATTTACATTTAAGTAAAACAAACGAATCGTTCATGACTCATCATCTAACGCTACCGGTTATACAACTCTCGTGTTCGGACTACTTGGCCAAGTTTTTAATTGTAAATATTTTAATGTTTCGTATGTGTTCGTGTTATGTGTCCTATATGTGCTGACGACTCCACCCATGGATGAGAAGGCCGTATTTTAACGTTCATAGACAACCTGAAGCAGCCAACCTGACAACCTGACTCGTTTAGCAGTACGAAACGGCCGTAGTTATTTCATAACTTAAGGATCAATTGACTCAACAGGTAAATTAAACCTTTTATACAGGGTGTTTCAGAATTAGTGTCGGATATTTTAGGTTATTATTCCTGGGTAAGAAACATATCCAAATATCATATTTAAACAGTCCGGAAGTCTTTATTTACTCAAACAGCCGCCATTTTGTTTTTTCCTTTAATATATTTGTTTAAAGAGAATGGTAAAACATACGGAATTGAAACTTTGCACAAACATTTCTGACTACTAGGCAAAGCTACAAAAAAATTATGAAAATTTTCCAAATACATAATAAATGGCGGCCATTTAAAATTTTGTTTTTTAAATAACTCAAAAACCGTTGATTTTATGAAAATTTTACTAGAATAACTTTTTTTAGGTAATTTTATTACAAATCGATTGACACCTTAATTTTTACAATTGAACGTATATCAACTGAGATATGGCAGTTTTAGTGATACGTGACCACTGGAGGTTAGTTGTAGTGCATGCGGAGCCATGCATTGTTGTGGCAGACGTATCACTAAAACTGCCATATCTCAGTTAATATACGTCCAATTGTAGTATATTAATTAAAGTTAAGGTGTCAATCGATTTGTAATAAAATTACCTAAAAAAAGTTATTCTTGTAAAATTTTCATAAAATCAACGGTTTTTGAGTTATTTAAAAAACAAAATTTTAAATGGCCGCCATTTATTATGTATTTGGAAAATTTTCATAATTTTTTTGTAGCTTTGCCTAGTAGTCAGAAATGTTTGTGCAAAGTTTCAATTCCGTATGTTTTACCATTCTCTTTAAACAAATATATTAAAGGAAAAAACAAAATGGCGGCTGTTTGAGTAAATAAAGACTTCTGGACTGTTTAAATATGATATTTGGATATGTTTCTTACCCAGGAATAATACCCTAAAATATCCGACACTAATTCTGAAACACCCTGTATAAACAAACGAAATCGAAGTATAGTATAAATACTGGCTGCAGAAGTGTACATCGTGAATAGGTATGGGCTTGGGCTATTTTATTTATGCCGCACATGGGGTAGGCCTAGAAAGAAGATTAATGGTCTGGTAAATCCAAGTAGCATTGTCTTTACTGTAATTATAGATCAGCGTCTCTCAAATCGTGTGCTCCCACTATCTCCGCGTTCCGCTATCTCCGAACCCAAATCTGTCCCGCCATCTCCGAATTCTTGAGTGACCCTTATAATCCCGTCACTGCCTACGTTGATAGCTGTCATTGCATCCACGGCTGCGAAGCCCCGTGGATGGAAGATTTAATGAAAATTTTACCCGTGGGTTAGGTTAGGTTAGGTCAGGTTAGGTTAGGTTAGGTTAAGTTAGGTTAGGTTAGGTTTGGACGGAAAGTCTTAACGCAGGAAGTAACCGAGGATTATAGGGGTCACTCTGAAATTCGGAGGTAGCGGTACACGGAGATGGCGGGACGCGGAGATAGCGGGAGGTAACCTCTCTCAAATAATGCTGACGGAACTAGAAAAATTTAAGTATAACCACGAACATCTCTTTAAGTGATAGTAGATTTTAATAATTGTTTTGATGTCAAGTTTTAGATCGATGTAGCATGGACTAAGCCCCCAGGTGAAATGCTGCGAGATTGTATCTGGTACTCACGTTTTCGTGTTTGAAGAAGCACAACATCTTGAGCTCGCGGAACACGCGCTTCGACGACACGAGGCTTTGAAAGACGTTGGGGAGTTTCTTGAGCGCGACTCTCCGTCCGTCTCTGGGATCCGTCACCGCCCTGCAACAACACAACATCATGTTATACGTGTACACACCTACAGTATTTACAACTCTACACACGTCTTGTGTACTCTAGTACTGTAATACCTATCCATACAATGCGTGATACATTTACGATAGGTCTTGATTGCAGATAGTAGCACGATTCATCTGTATACCACAGAAAATACAACAGGGTGTCCACAAAAAATTTTTCATTAATTTCCATGACTTTCCATGACTATCCATGACCATTTACCATTGATTTCCATGACTCACAAACTTTACACGCAAATTATAATATAACATACACACACAAATAACTGCCTGGACATGTTATTTTGCAGAAAATACTGAAATATGTAATAACAGATAACAATGGAGTACAATAGGTACAACAATGAACTAAAACAAACCGAAAACTCATAAAATAATACAACTGTAATAAATTGAATTGTCAAACATTTGTGAAAAATCCTGAAAAATGCTACAACAGTCCGGGTTACAGCTGACTAGAGCATTGAATGGTCCCCTCAAATCCATCCATAATTGGAAATTTCCATGACTTTCCATGACTTCTTGCCTATTTCCCTGACTTTCAATGACCAAAATTTTTTTCCATGACTTTCCATGACTATCCCTGACTTTCCAGAATGTGGACACCCTGTACAACATTGTCTGTGGGGGGAACACTAATCCCTAACAAGGTCATTTACCTTTCAGGTATTTATGACTGGATTTCCATTCTCCGAAGCGTATTAATGACCTTAAGTAGTGGAAAATTATCCACCAAGCATTATTTCCATCGTCATCAGGTAAACAAAAACATAACTAGGGCAAACAAGCCAACCAACGAAAAATCTTCCATTACAAATAAGTTTACCCGCCGCGACAGGGACAGGAACCCTGGACTACTGTCACCAACGCACCCAACACGTGGAGAAATGTACTATCGTTACCCAACACTACTCAGCACTCACTTCAACTCACGAGTCAACACACTGCAAATTTACTAAAACTATTAGGTTTATAAATAAACTAGACGATACTGGTTTGTAATGTAACGCAAACTAATGCGACATATCATATCGCATAATGTTTAGGCGCTTATTTTATTTTTCTTGCCGATTTCAATCATTTAAATTACTAGGCCGTAATTAGTTAAACAATAAAAGATTCCACAAATAACAACTACTTTATACTTATTTATTTGTTTAAACAAGTAATATGAGTGAACTGCTTAAACAAGGGACTTTTGGACATTCACTGAGGTCAAAATATAAATTTGGAAAACATGTTTCGTTTAAGCCGACTCAAATCGCACGACGTCGTCTTTGCTTCGAATATGGAACCAACCCTTATCTCGTGCGAGATGAAGACATCCTAAACGGGTTATATCTCCTGTGTAGCCCGCGGCAATACGAGGTCATATTGGCGGGTAAATGACTCCGTGACGTCACGTACACCAGGGGCGACGAATGGCGCGCACACACTCGCACTACAACGATAAACTGAATTGAAGTATTGGATTTACATTCAAATAAATATTGTTTGGGACCTTAGTCAGCAGCTCACGAAATGCACATTTGTATATTTCGAATAACACGAGTATAGGCACTCCAACAATAAACTAAATTACAATAAATAGTAACTGTAAAATAGTTAATACAGAACCTTGATAACAAGACTCTCATGGGGATTATGAAATAAGTCTTGTTATCAAGGTTGTCTTCTTATCGAGGGTTGCAATAACACGTGATTAGGGGTAAATTAAATTCTAAGGGATTTAAAAATGACACTTGTTATCAAGGGTGACTTTGTTATCGAGGTTCCACGTATGATAATGTGCAAAAGATAAGTTTTCAACAATCAGTGAAGATTAGTTTATACTTACAGTATACAGGGTGATTGATATAAGTGTGCCAGCCGTTTTATTCAAAAACTATAAGAGATATCAAAAAAAGTTAAATGGTAAGTGCCTTGGATTTTTTATTTAAAAAATTGTAGTAAAGTCAAAAAATTTATTTTAGCCCCCATTTTTCCAATATGGCCGCCAACTTTGATTTTTCTTACGGAACACCCTGTATTTTATTATGTATTCTGGTAGAAAAGGTAATTTTAAGACGATTTTATTCTTGTGATTTTTTTCATAAACCTTACCGTTTTAAAGATAATAATGGTTAAAGTTTTGAGATTTCTGCATGAGAAAGAGTTTCGATAAAGGCCTAAGCAAGCATGCCAGCTGTTTTGCTCGAAAACCATTCAAAATTTCACAACTTTAACCATTATTATCTTTGAAACGGTTAGGTTTATGAAAAAAATCACAAGAAAAAAACGTCTTAAAATAACTTTTTCTACCAGAATACATCATAAAATACAGGGTGTTCCATTATAGTACGTTGTGTACAGGGTCATATATGGCAAAAAGCTGCACTTTTTGATTGAGATATGGCGCTTTCAGTGGTCATTGCTGATACCAAAAGGGAACTTTTCAGATAGGGAGCCACTTCAAATTCCGTGTAGGACACCAAAATGGCGGCCATTAAAGATGGCCGCCATATGCCCTCGTACTGTTGCACAATATTTGTTGTATCTCAGCTTCTAATGGTCTGATTTCAATAAGTATTTTTTTATATTAACGCTGTTTTGTAGAGGAAACTTTTTTATATTTGACATTTAACTGCATAAAACCTAAGCGTTCTGCAGAATCTTTATAAAAACTAAAAATAAACAATATTTTATGAAAGTTTTGGTCCGTAACATTAAAGTTGTGCTAAGAACTCGTCTTAAAATGATAAAGGGACATGTAAAGCATTAAGTAAATAAAAAAGAGATAGTAGGCTTTAGAAAAATCACATATTTTACTACAGTATGAAGCGGGAATTAAAAGGAGGTAACAAACTATTATGATGAAAAAAAAAAAACAATAAAAATCAAGGAAGAGTCTACACGTAAATTGAGTGCTTCTCTATAATTTCGGATCACGTAGTCATCTTTTTCATCTTACTTATCGATACAAAGTCGACACCCGGAGCAGTTCTTGCAAAGTAGTGTGCATGGAACTAGCCTTCTAACAGGAGCATGTTGTTGGCATTCAGTGGAACTACACTTAATAATTCTATGCAGGCTGCCATAATTGGAGGAAGAGAAGACCAAACAGTCTGACATAATTGGAGGAAGAGAAGACCAAACAGTTGTCCACTCCTCAGCAACCCTGGTCCATATCCCATCCGTCTGGCTCTGGAGCGTTTCCTTCACTGAGCATGCTCGACCCTAAACCTGGCCTGCCCTGATGCTGATTGAAGGCAGTGCTGCCTTAGTGCCTCTCTAGTTGGGGGTAGACTTTGTCAATCACGATTCTTTGAGTAAAGAGAAACTTTCTACCATTAACCAAAAAAATCATCAGCATCTTTGTAGTAAAGCAAGAAGATAAACTTCTCCAGGACTTGTAAAGTCTTGACATAAATTGACTCTTGTGGTAGGGAGATTGCATGAAAGGCTGTTGTAGCTTCAGGAAATGATTTCCACACAGTCCAAGCTGTCATTTTTCCTTTCATTGCAAATTATGAAGTCACATCTGATCCTGTGAATGCATGAAATCCTCTCAATGCAACGGCTTTGTGCTCACCCATACCATAGACAATTTTTTTTGTCTATCCCCATACTCTCAAATATTGCATTAATATTTATACATCTTTGACTCTTCCCAGCACCGAAGAGAACCCACATCTCCTGAAGTCCAGGAGTTTTGAGGATGTGGAAAAAAGATATTGCTAAAACAACCATCAGTATCTGCTGTAAAAATAAAGACATTTTTGCTCCATGTTCGACATTGTCTTTGGCGTGGTGGAAAGTCCTGCCGTCAGCTTCTTCCTGTTGCTTGCATTTGACTCCATCAATTAAAGATTTATCAGGCCGAGCCACACGAATAATGTCATCGATCTCAGTGATGATATGTGTCCTTTGAAAATTGGAAAGTGCATGTTCTCCAAGTAACTTGAAGATTTCTGTTTTATTTTGATCGTAGCGGAGGAAATCGCTCCAATTGATTGGTAGCATATTTCCTTATGTCACTTGCTGACGAATACCAACGCCTCTCTTATTTCGAACACCTTTCTTGGGACAGGCTTTTGAGTAAGTATGCCATGAAATATGTATTCTATTTACATGGAACCTCTCAGCATAATTGACAATTATGTTTTTGAATTCCGAACTGCAGTATTCTCCAAAGGTGCGTGATGTTTTTGGTGGAATAGCATGTACTAGTGCTGCTCCATCGAAAATAAATGTATCCCCAAATCCTTCAAATTGTGGTTGGTCAACGGTTTCTTCAAGGATTTTCAATAGCTGAGATTTTTTACATGATCTAAGAACGTCATTTGAAGAAAGCGATGATGGTGCACTGGTATTTTTCGTGTTGAAAAAGGTTTTCCAAATCCAACCTTCTGTTATGGCTTACAATAAAAGCCCTAGAAAATAGTTCAACATAATTTTTATGTCAGTAATATTGGGGTGAGAACTGTTTTTGGTTCAAAATTGGTCCAATTTTTTTAATAGGAGCAAATACACTTACATTTGTCAGTTGACTATTAGAGACACGAAAAAAGCGAAACGCCACAATAATACAGAATGAAACAAATGGTATGAAATAGAAACACCCCCCTGCAGAAAACCTGCAGAATAAGCGAATTTCAACTTGTCTGATTACATTTTCACTCAAATTTTCCATAAATAAGACATATTTATTCCCAATTTAAAAATAACATTAGTTTTAACGAGTGCTTAGGTTTGCTGCTACGGGGAAGGTTAATAGTGTTTTTTGACCAAACGTTAGTAGCATAGGATTAAATAAATAAATTTTACCAATTTAATCAGCATAAACAAGTAAACTACAACAGTGTAAATTTACTCCATAAGAATAACATGGGATTTTTTTTTAAATTTACGCTTGTTTTTAATTTTCTCTGTAACCGTTAGGCATACAATAGTGCTTCAGTATACTCAATTATTTCTTTTTTT